AATCTTATGTCTTATAGGGTTTATACTGAGTACAATATTGTATAACTGTAATAATTCAACTGTAAACCTAAAAATTTATAGCCAGTTTTGAAAGAGATGCCTCTTAGCTCTGGAAATTGTTATTGAATATGTCAATGCTGTTGTCATGAAATACTTCTTCTAAATATGTGGTTATTAAATAAATAATTTTTTTAAACAAAAACCTTGGTGCAGTATCAGCACATGTCTGCAATACCAGAGCTGGTGAGGCAGGGGCAGGAGGATCCCTGTAGCTCCTCAGTCAGACAGAGGAGTCAAATTGCTGAGTTCAAGGTCCAGCAAGAGACTTTGTCTCAAAAATTAAGGCGGGGAATAATTCAACAAAGTCATGACGCTGGTCTCTGGCCTCCACAGTCTCTGGCCTCCACACACAGATGCATACACATGAACACATCCACATGAACTCGTACTTAGAACACACCACACCACACACACACACACACACACACACACACACACACAGAGTGGTCTCTCAGTATCAGTGGAAGGAAAGGAAACCAAATTTGTATTTTATAGTTACAGTTTATAAAATTCACCTTATTTTATCCTCATCAAGATACATATTTAAAAGTTCAGAATTTCAAATGTCTAAAGTACTTTCTAAGGTTGCACAAGGATGTGAGCACACCTACAGACATTTTGGGTTTTGTTTGTTTTTATTTGATTTGCTTTGTTTCCTGTTTGACATATTAGGTTAGGGAACTACATGGGACTTTTCCTGGGAAAAGACAGAAGAAGTGTGATAGGAACAAGGAGACACCACACACACCACTTTGAGCAATTACCGGACAGCACATTCAGGGTGGCCACTCTAATTTGTCAATGGTGTACCCACATCCCCAGTTTATCAATGCAGTAACCACTCCACATAGCTGTATTTCATTTAACACTGCCTTATCAATACCTCTCTGTTTGTCTCAAAAATATAGTAGTGGCTCTAGGCACAGATTCAGAGAGGAAGAAAGGGGAGAAATCATTCAGCCATCCAGACAGAACTGCAAAGGCTGGAGGCTAATGCTGACCAAGCCCCCATCTCCCCACACGGATCAGGCAGCTATAGGCCCAGGACTTTTAGTCCTATGTTTCCATTCCCTAAAGGCACCATACACAACTCCAGAGGTACACTTTTAGTTGATGAGTCAAGGAAAATAAAAGAGAAAATAAAATAAGACTTTTTTCCATCCAAGTCTTAAAAACAAAGTCATTAGTGAGACATTCAGTGACTTAGGTACTAAGATAGCTATTTTCAAAAGAACATCCCGAACATAAAGTGTTCTTCTAGTGCAATAAAAATGTTTTCGGTGCCTCTTTTGGCTGTAGACAAAATTTACCAGGAGAAAAGAAATCACTATTGTCTAGTCTGGATTCCTTTGCTTCAGGCCCAGTCCAAGATTTCTCTACTAGGGGAGGCGTCTGTTAGCACTGTGAGACTTTTGTTCACAGTACTCCTTTTTGCCTTTTAGAGACAAGTAAACCACTTAACTAAGCTCATGCCAAATACAGTTTGCAAAGAAGGCCAGCAGAGGTGACTTGCTACTGTTGTGTGATAAAGAGGATGAGGCGGCCTTGAGGAAGAATTCAGGAAGAAAGTCTGAAAAGTCTTGATCAGAGTGTTTTCCTATTCTTGCCTTCCAAAATACTTGATAGACGGTTTCCAGTCAGCACAGAAAAGAAAATGCCAGGGGCTTGAGAGATGGCTCAGCAGTTAAGAGCACAGGCTGCTCTTTCAGAGAACCTGGGTTCCATTCCCAGTACTCACGTGGTGGCTAACAACTGTTTGTAACTCCAGTTCCAGGGTATCCAACACCATCTTCTGACCTCCATGGGCATTGCATGACGTGGGCGCACTTAGACAGAGGCAGGCAATACACTCATACACATAAAATAAAAGAAAAGAAAAAGAAAAGAAAATACCAAAAGCTGACTAGCCTAATTATTTCCCTTACATAAATCATAGGGACTATTTAGTACAAGGGGACATTTTTGATGGTTAGGGAAACTTAAAATAAGTCAAAAGAACAGGAAAATGAAGATGAAGGAAAGAAGAGATGGAGGAAAAGGAGAAGGGGGAAGGAAGGAGGGAGGAAAAGAGAGAGGGAGGGAGGGAGGCAGGGAGGACTGATTGCCACGCACTGCTTCCAATATATAAGCATCTGGAAGCACCACGTTAGAGCTGACCCTCATGCTGCCCAGCACAGCACACAGCAGAATCTCCCTAACTGGATGGCAGGTAGAGGGTTTCAACATTCTCTTTGCTATGACTGTATCTTACATCCCTCACATCTTTGAAACCGACTCACAGTCCTATAGGCTAATTTCCTCTCCACCTCATTTAGGCCGCAATTTTTAAAATATTTTCCTTGCCCTCTCTTCTCTAAGACTTTGTTACACACAACCTACAAAGTCTAGCTCTCAACCAATTTCCTCCAGGAAACCAGCCTGCTTTTGCAGCTGGTTCTAACCCTATCCCTGAATGCTCCCCTCCTTGACTTTTTCTTCCTGGTTATTATCGCTAATATACATTATACTTTTATTAATTCATCTCATTTGTTATTTGCCTCTGGTTGGGACATAACATCCAGGGACAGAGATGTTTGTCTGGATTGTTAGCAGCTGTGGTTCTAATGAGTAAAGCAGAATCTAACACATGTGCTTAACAAATACTTATTCTTTGGATGAGTGAGTGCTTCAGAGGTGGTTATGCCTCTGTGGGAGCCTAGTGCCTCACAGAGTCACCATGGACACACTCAGGGAGCTCAACTTTAAAGCCACAGTAAGATTTAACTATGCGCTTGGTACGGAAAGTTGAGGAAAAGAGAAGATGGTTCTATGACTTGTTTCTGCTCTGGGAGTTCTGTAATTGAGAACAGAACTTGCATATGTCTGATAAGTCCTATTTGCTGTCTGTATGGACATATGCAGAAGTAAACGCCTAACAGCAAGTGTTCGTGGAAACAGAA